ACCTCTGACAACCTGCAGTCCCATAATCTGAATAAAGAAAAGTAATGAAGATAAAAACCATTTAAAAATGCTTTGATCTGTGTGTTTATATCAATAATCAGACATTATTTGTGAAAAAACATTTACATAAACAGAAACCAAATAACTATTTCTATTTCAACAAGTAAAATTAAATAATATTAGTTCAGAGGATCTTCTGTATACAGATGCCATTTATCAAAATTTTGAAACATTCACTTACTTTAACAACTAACAGCAAGTCTTTGTGACTGTAGACTAAATTTAGTACAAGAAACATTAAAATATGAACAAAAAGGACATTTACAACTTTATTAGATTGAGTTGTTAATTAAACATATCTACAATAGTAAGAGAGAGTCAGTGAACTGACCTCAGAGTCTCCAGTCTACAGTGTGGACTCTCCAGAAAACCACACAGCAGTTTCACTCCTGAATCCTGCAGCCTGTTGTTACTCAGCTCCAGCTCTCTCAGATGGGAGGGGTTGGACTCTAGAGCTGAGGCCAGAGAAGCACAGCTGATCTCTGACAAACTGCAGCCCCTCAATCTGAATCAAGAAAAAATGATGGTGATAATAATCAATTTTTAAATGTGGAACTCAACATTACTATGTCCCAATCAATCAGCTTTACCCTAAAATGAGTAGATGGACTGTCATTGTGTTATTGTGCATCATCATCATCATCATGTCAGCCTTCTACAGACATCATCCAAATGTCAGCACAACATTCATACACCTATTCATGTCAGCAGAGCTCAATAACATGCTGCTGATCTCAGGACATTTACAACTTTATGGATGGAAGCTATGCATGTACAGAAATTAGGTTCAGCTGTTAATTAAACATATCAGATATTCAATAGTAACAGAGAGTCAGTGAACTGACCTCAGAGTCTCCAGTCTGCAGTGAGGACTTTCTAGTCCAGCTGACAGCAGCTTCAGTCCTGAATCCCGCAGCTCATTGTTATTCAGGTCCAGCTCTCTCAGATGGGAGGGGTTGGACTTCAGAGCTGAGGCCAGAGAAGCACAGCTGATCTCTGACAAACTGCAGCCCCACAATCTGAATAAAGAATAAATGATGGAGATAAAAATCCATTTCTAATCCAATTAGATGTGTTAAAATTTTAAATGTGGAGCTAACGTCCAAATCAATGAGCATTTCCCTAAAATGAGTAGAGGGACTTTGTCATTGTGTTATTGTGGATCATCATAATGTCAGCCTTCTACAGACATCATCCAAATGTCAGCACAACATTCATACACCTATTCATGTCAACACAGATCAATAACATGCTGCTGATCTCAGGCCAGTCTGGAACTAGAGGAGAAAAACTATATTGATCCTTTAAACAGCTGCACTTGGAAATATGTTTTGATCTGTGTGTGTGTGTGTGTGAGCGTGTGTATTCTGAAGGATCGATATCAATGATCAGACATTATTTGTGAAAACAAATTGAAACCAACAGAAAGCAAAGAAATATTTCTACTTCAACAAGTAAACTTGATCAGTTTAAAACAAATTAGTTCAGAGAATCTTCTGTAACAGATGTGACCATTTACCATAACGACTAACAGTGGACATTTTCTACAGTTTCTTTAAGAAACACAAGTCTTTGAGACTGCAGACTAAATTTAGCACAAGAAAAATATGAACAAAAGGACATTTACAACTTTATGGATGGAAGTTACAATAGTGACAGAGAGTCAGTGAACTGACCCCAAAGTCTCCAGTCTACAGTGTGAACTCTCCAGTCCAACAGACAGCAGCTTCACTCCTGAATCCTGCAGCTTGTTTCCACTGAGCTGCAGCTCTCTGAGATGGGAGGGGTTGGACTTCAGAGCTGAGGCCAGAGAAGCACAGCTGATCTTTGACAAACTGCAGCGCCACAATCTGAATAAAGAATAAATGATTGAGATAAGAAAAAAAACATTTATAATCCAATCAGATGTGGTCAGGTTTCTCTCTTCACGGTTTAAATTCAGCATAATCAAAATGTAATCTGAATAAAAATTTGAATATTTATCTGGGAGATATAACTTTGATGCTGATAGTGTAAAAACAAAATTTGCACTGTCTAAAATTATTATGTTGTAACTTGATTGAAACTTATCATCCTAAAATCTACAATTGTAACAGAGACTCAGTCAAATGACCTCAGAGTCTCCAGTCTACAGTGTGGGCTCTCCAGAAAAACACTCAGCAGCTTCAGTCCTGAATCCTGCAGCTTGTTGTAGCTCAGCTCCAGCTCTCTCAGATGGGAGGGGTTGGACTTGAGAGCTGAGGCCAGAGAAGCACAGCTGATCTCTGACAAACTGCAGCGCCACAATCTGAAAAAAGAAAAAATGACGGAGATAATCATCAATTTTTAAACGTGAAGCTCAACATTACTATGTCCTAATCAATGAGCTTTTCCCTAAAATAAGTAGAGGGACTTTGTCATCGTGTTATTGTGGATCATCATGATGTCAGCACAATATTTGTACACCTATTCATGTCAACACAGATCAATAACATGCTGCTGATCTCAGGCCAGTCTGGAATTATATAAACAATTAGAGTATCAACAGACGTTGATACTCTAATTGTTTATATAGCACCAAATCACGATGTCTTGTTGTGATTTGGCGCTATATAAATAAAATTGAATTGAAACGTCAAATCAGACATGTTGGACTAAAAGTAGGGCTCGACTAACAATTATTTTAAAAATCAATAAATTTATTCATTATTTTTGCAATTAGTCGATTCTAATTTTTCTAATTAATTCTTCTAAAGGAAAAAATGTATTACTCACTTAATATAATAATTTATCCAAAATAAATATCAAACACTTCTAATTAATAACTGAATATTTTATTCAATCATCCTGAAAAAGAGACATAAATCTTATATTAATAATAACAACAACAACTAGAAGCTGCCACTTGCATGGCCTCGGTGGGGGCCATGCAATTCGGACCAGCAGTCCCACAGGCATGACACACATCACATGCTGAGAGCCGTACAGAGATTGAAAAATATTTTATTAAAAAAGAATGTTCTGTAAATAATTTTTTGCAACAAAGTAAGTGGTAGTGGCTGACTGTTGCCAGAGTTTAAGTTTTTTGTTAATCGGATTGGGCTATGTGGCGATATGACATCACTTTCTGTTTTGACTGTTTTACGAGGTTTTTGTTGCAGTCTAAAGGTCTGTGGCTTCAAATAATGAATGCTGCCATGAAAACAGAGCAACAGTTAGATCTGTTGTCCAAAAGAACTTAGAAATCAATTAGAACATTAGAAATCTTAATTTGATGTTTGATGTGGATGTTGGAAGAGGGATGAAGCACCCAACCTGCCTTTTCTTTTTTAAGCTGCAGACCCCAGATCTCGAGGTCTCTTCTTTTTGGAGAATCATTAGCTTTTAGCTCTCTGTGTGGTCTGATTGGTGGACCCTCACTGGTAAGTTTGTCATCCACACTGCCTACACTTCACACAAGTCATTACAGACAACTACAAATCTGCTGTTAAGGAACTTGATAGATTGTGTTCAAATGCCACACTGCGTGAGGAACAGTGGTGGAGCGGGGGATGGCTGGGAAAGGTATAAACCTGGAGTTAGCCATTTGGAATTGAGGTAGGCCAGAACCTCATACTGAAACTAGCTTGTTATCAGGGGCCTCTCTCTGTGTAGGATTTGAACATAATGTGCTAGGGTCCAAGGGTGGCAACCCAAGAGAGCGGGGTTAGTGGCGATTAACGTTACAGTAGGTGGACAGTGGAAGTCGCTGATTAGTGGAGTGACATGATTCCTTTTGGGTTAATTGAAAACTAGATGCACCGCCGCAAACCATTTGTAGGGGATATAGGCTGGAAGACCCGCTGGGAGAGCATTGCAGTAGTTGAGATGAGGGAAAATCATGGCCTGTACCAGAGTCCCTGAACTGCGCTGAGACGGTGGGGTCATCTGGCAGGAAGGATATGTAGAGTTGCATATTGTCTGCGTAGCAGTGGTAAGAGAAGTGAGCGAGTGACCAGCCTCAGTGAGGTGGTGTAAATTTAGAGGCACCCTGTGGAGAGGCAGTGAGAGAAAGACAATTTTCCTTTCCAAGAAAGATTGTAGGAACCCCTAGAAAGTTAGGATGTTGGTCTGTATTAGGCTGCTATTTATTACTCTTTAGCTCTATTAGCTCTGGTTTAATGCACACCAAACCACAGCAGATGTGTGGGCAGTGTACCACATTAGCTTCTGTTATAATGAAGATCATCACCGTTCCTAACTTCACCTTTATTGAGATTTGCACTCATGTCTTCAACCAACCTGTGTCTCTCTGTTTACACAGAAGCTCAGACTCTCTACAGCCTGTTTATATCTCCTATCATCTGATCTTCAACAACCTCGTTCATATCTCTCACACTCAACAGCCTCATCAGTACTGACATCTTCACTGACTGATGGCCCACAGTGAGAGTCTGTGGAAGCTGAAAAAACTGTCCTGTCAAACATTAAATTTCTCTACTTTCTGTTACAGTCAGTGAACTGACCTCAGAATCTCCAATCTACAGTTTGGACTCTTCAGTCCAGCAGACAGCAGCTTCACTCCTGTATCATGCAGGTCATTGTCACTCAGGTCCAGCTCTCTCAAATGGGAGGGGTTGGACTTCAGAGCTGAAGCCACAACTTCACAGTGAGTCTCTGAGAGTTCACAATCAGAAAGTCTGCAAGGAAACATTAAAATAGTTACTATGAAGAAGAACAGTTCTAATTCATTTTATGACAAAAAACAGGATATGTCAAACCGTTTGACATATCCTGTTTAATGAACATTTGCTCTGCACATTGGTGGTTCAGATAATCTATCTTACTGTGTTTGAAATGAAAGAATAATTCTCACCACTCAAGAACATTTGTGACAAAATACAACTGAATTTGTTAGTGTGTCTATTTGAGGAATTGAACAGCTGATCTTCACTGATTTATAATGTTAATCACATCTGGACTTACAGAGCCTTTCTGCAGTTCCTCACAGCTGGAATCAGTCTCCTTCGCCCCTCCCATGATGTGTTGTACTTCTCCAGGTCCAATTCATCCAGAACCTCCTCTGACATCTGTAGCATGTAGGCCAGAGCTGAGCAGTGGATCTCAGAGAGGTACTTCTCTGATCTGTTCTGTGACTTCAGGAACTCTTGGATCTCCTGATGTACTGAGTGGTCGTTCATCTCCGTCAAACAGTGGAAGATGTTGATGCTTCTGTCAGGAGAGATCTCATCACTGTTCATCTCCTTCAGGTTGTTGATGGCTCTCTGGATGATTTCTGGACTGTTGTCTGTCCGACCCAGCAGGCCTCCTAAGAGTCTCTGGTTGGACTCCAGAGAGAGGCCATGAAGGAAGCGAACAAACAGGTCCAGGTGGCCATTTTTACTTCCAAGGGATTTCTCCATGGCTCTCCTCAGGAAGTTGTCTTCGTCGTCATCACGATCATCGCTATCTTCCAGGAAGTCCTCCAGTACCTCTGAGTTCCTGCTGGTGTAACAGTGGAACATGTAGACTGCAGCCAGAAACTCCTGAACGCTCAGATGAACAAAGCAGTAGACTGTTTTCTGGAAGATCACACTCTCTCTTTTGAAGATCTCTGTACAAACTCCTGAGTACACCGAGGCCTCTGTGACATCAAGACCACACTGCTCCAGGTCTTCTTGGTAGAACATGATGTTTCCTTTCTCCAGCTGTTCAAACGCCAGCCTCCCCAGCTTCAGAAGAACCTTCCTGTCAGCCTCCGTCAGCTCCTGTGGACTCGTCTCATGTCCCTCATCGTACTTGTGCTTCTTCCTCTTTATCTGAACCAGCAGGAAGTGTGAGTACAGGTCAGTCAGGGTCTTGGGCAGCTCTCCTCTCTGCTCTGTAGTCAACATGTGCTCCAGAACTGTAGCAGTGATCCAGCAGAAGACTGGGATTAGACACATGATGTGGAGGCTCCTGGAGGTCTTGATGTGTGAGATGATTCTGCTGGACAGCTCTTCATCACTGACTCTCCTCCTGAAGTACTCCTCCTTCTGGGCGTCACTGAAGCCTCGTACTTCTGTTACCCTGCCGACACACGAAGGAGGGATCTGATTGGCCGCCGCAGGTCGGGAAGTTATCCAGACGAGAGCCGAGGGAAGCAGATTCCCCTCGATGAGGTTTGTCAGCAGCAGGTTGACCGATGACTTCTGTGTGACATCAGACACAACCTCACTGTTGTGGAAATCCAATGAAAGTCTGCTTTCATCCAGGCCGTCAAAGATGAACAACAGTTTCCAGACGGCGAGCTTCTCTGCTGGGACCTTCTGTAATGTTGGATGGAAAACATGGAGCAGCGTGAGGAGACTGTGCCGCTCATCTTTGATCAAGTTCAGCTCCCTGAACGAGAGCAGAACCAGCAGACCGACATCTTGGTTTTCCGAGCCCTCTGCCCAGTCCAGAGTGAACTTCTGCACTGAGAAGGTTTTTCCAACGCCAGCGACGCCGTTGGTCAGAACCACTCTGATGGCTCTCTGTTGGCCAGGTAAGGCTTTAAAGATGTCCTGGCACCTGATTGGAGTGTCATGGAGGGTCTTCTTCTTGGAAGCTGTCTCAAGCTGCCTCACCTCATGCTGGGTATTAACCTCTTCACTCTGTCCCTCTGTGATGTAGAGCTCAGTGTAGATCCTGTTGAGGAGGGTTCCACTTCCTGTTTCATCACTTCCTTCAGTCACACGTTCACATCTCCTCCTCAGACTGATCTTATGTTCATCTAAAACCTCCTGCAGACCACCTCTCACTAAAGAAGAGAAACAATGTGAGATAAAACAAAGAATATGTGCTGATTATTTTCATTACTAATATAAAAACCATCAATATCAGAATATCTGAAGAAGCAGACAGATGTCCAGTCTTACTTTGTACAGAGCTGCTCTGACTGGCTGTCTGCAGTCCAGCTCTGGTTCTGGATCTGTCTCCACACTGGGGACAGGAGGAGTGTCCTGATGAAGCAGACTGGTCCCAGTATGAGGTGACGCACCGTCTGCAGAACCAGTGTCCACAGCTGGTAGAGACTGGATCCTTCAGGACGTCCTGACACAAAGCACAGCAGGACGGCTGCTCCTCCACAGGAACAGGACTCCTCTTCCTCTCTCTGTGGACACAAAGACATTTCTTTTTAAATTAAAAACCTTTCATGAATTATTGCAGCAAAATATTGTGATTGTGGGTGCAACGAAACCTTCAGTTATCATCTGATGCTGGCCAACATTTCAGCTTCTGGTGTAGCCAGCAGATATCCGGCCTAAGACTTCCTCTTCCTGTGTTGTTGTTTACAATCTGATTAGTAATCTTGGAAGCCATCAGCCATCATCTGACGACCATTTGATGCAGATATGTTTTTAAAAAGCCAATAAAATACTAACCTCTGGGGTTCCAAGATTGATTAAAGCTAAAAAAAGCAGACAATAGCTGATGGGTTCCTAGTGCACCTCTTTTGCTCTGCACATGGATATTTACCTGCTTGCAATGCAAATAGGTGACGTAAAGAGGTAACATAGTGAATGTGTGTGCATAGCTGTCAACACTCCCGTTTTTCCTGGTAATCCCCATATATTACCATTCTATGCCGCTGTACTCCCATATAAATATTTCCCCCTAAATCTCCTGTACAATTAAAAATCCTAAAAATAAAATACACTGGGTCGTGAAAATTGTATATTTCCCGATGCAGAATTGAACAAGAAAATGGCAAACCGCAGTCTTTTGGTATTTATTAAAGGATAAAAGAAACAACTAAGTACTAAGAATGATTCAGCAGGATCAGACATCTGGCCCCAAGCAGAGGACAAACATAAAATATAAAGCAGGTACAATGCTCCCTCAGAGATGAATCGGCCATTAGGAAAAACAAATTAACAGAAACAGAAGCGGAACAGCTCAGACTAAAGGTATCTGCAGCCCTTTCTAACCTCACCATCCAAGAAAGGAAGGCTGTGACATCTCTGAGCAAGGATCAAAACATCACTATCCTAAGAAAGAAAGATGCACGGTAGTCCTTAACACAGCCTGAACTACCAGAACAAAGTCAACACAAAACTAATGGACACAAACACATATGAGACACTGAGACGAGACCCAACCAGCGGATACAAGAAAAAGGCCATAGAATGTCTACAACAGCTACAGAAGGACAACACCATCACCCGTGAACAATATTACCGTTTGTATCCTGGAGAAGCCATTCCATGCATTTATGGACTACCCAAGATACACAAAGAAGGAGCCCCACTCAGGCCGATTATCAGCAGCATTAACTCGGTCACCTACAACATTGCCAAACACATTTCCACCATCTTAACACGCCTCACCACATCCAAAACTCCATTGACTTTGTAAACAAAGTTCGAGGACTAAAACTGGATCCAGATGAAACCATGGTATCCTATGACGTGACTTCTTTGTTCACCTGCGTCCCCACCATAGAGGCAGTAGAAACCGTAAGGAAACGGCTAACACAAGACAACACCCTGGACAACAGAACTAGCCTCAGCCCTGACCAGATCTGTAAATTACTCGACCTCTGTCTAAACACCACCTACTTCCAGTACAACGGTGGATTCTACAGACAGAAGCATGGCTGTGCCACGGGCTCACCGGTATCCCCGATTGTGGCCAAAATCTACATGGAAGAAGTGGAGAATAAAGCCCTCAACTCCTTCAGAGGAACAGCACCGAGTCACTGGTACAGATATGTGGACGACACCTGGGTCAAAATCAAAAGCCAGGAAGTGCAAGCCTTCACAGAACACATCAACTCTGTGGACAGTAACATCAAGTTCACACAAGAAGATGTTCACAACAACAGTTTGGACCTTCCTGGACTGCGCTGTACACATTGAAGAGGACAGGAGCCTGCAGATTGGTGTTTACAGAAAACCCACACACACACAGACCAATACCTACTGTTCAATTCCCACCACACACACACAAACGCATGGCTCAACACAGAAGGGCCAACTCCTCAGGTCAAGACTCTGCAGTCTACTTACATCTGAAGGACAGAGGACACTCGTTTGAGGACCACCAGGTGTACATTTTAGACAGAGAAGATGGATGGTTTGAAAGAGGTGTCAAGGAAGCCATCTACACCAGGGTGGAGAAGCCATCGTTGAACAGGGGGAGGGGGTCTACGCCACCACTTATCCCCCACTTACAATGCTGTCCTTTCATCACTTCCCAGGAAACTCAACAAACGTAACCTATTGGCCTCAGGTGAAGATACCAACGATGGTCGTTCAGTCTTGGCCACAGGTAGTCTTAACGACCGTAACGACTGTCGTCACAGCAACAAGGAACACTAACGAACCAGCGGTATCGATGACCCGGGCCAACGACCCCACTGAGGTTAAATAGCTGAGTTTCCCTGCCAGTCAGTCAGAACTGAAGAAGTCCTTTGGATGAGGGACGAAACGTCTTCCAGTATCTTCAACCAAGTCCAGTTGCCCTTGATTTTAACCTTCATTGTGGTCCTATGGTCTGGATGACTGAGAATCTTCACAGACAAGCTCCTCTTGTGTTTCCCTCCACTTCAGGACATCCAGCTGTGTTTTCCTCTGCCGTTGTTGCTGCAGCGGTCTGTGTGACGGCAGGAGCAGAGGGCTCTGTGAGCGGGCGGCTGGCCGGTCTCACACGCTCCTCCCGCGGGTCGCAGCAGGCTTCCCCCGCCGCCACTTGCGGAGCTCCTCAACTCCGGAAATACTCAAGCACATTTTTGTTCCGCCATCACTTTTAGTAAAACTGTCAATATTGTAAATCTACACAGCTGATTTCTCACCTCAAAACTTCTCAGAAGTGGATTTAGTAATGAAATAACATACGAAAACTGTAAAATATTTCTTTCTGTTGCTGGCCTCTGTCTGGTGCAGCAATGATGATGCAGTGAATAGTGACGATTCTCTCTGACCAATCAGCAGTCTGCCGTGTTTACACGTCACATTTTAGTATCGCCTCAGCTCGCTTGGAACCTCGACGGAGTATATACAAAAAAAAAAAAAAGTACCTGGAAGCAGGTACAGGTCCAACTTTTCCATAATGGAAAACCAGACAAAGGCGTGCAAGGAAAAGGGGCTATATTCCAGCTGCAAAATGAACACCGCCTTCGTACTGTGATCAAACCAACGGCTCTGTCGTTCTACGACATATGGAGCTACACGGAGCCGCTGTTCCATATGTAGTCATTGGCTCCACACAGCTATGCTCAGTCTGCCTGTTCCGCCCAGCAACAACAACAGCCTGGTAACATGCTTCAGGTTTTGGCCAATCAGAAGACAATGGGCTTTGAGAGGAGGGCCTTAAAGAGACAGGAGCATCTACAGCTTGTTTCAGACAAAGGCTGAAATGAAGGCCTACATGAAGAATCAGTATAAGATAGAAAATTATTTTTTTGAACTTTGAATCATGCAAAGCTGCCATGCAGGAGTCACAGAACTACAATATGGGCCTGGAAAAGCATTATAATAGGTCTCTTTTAAACTTTTGCCTAGCACAGACTCCAGCCCGCTTACCACGCTTATGCATTTATTTACATTTATTCATTTAGCTGTAGCTTTTATCCAAAGCAACTTACAATTGCTATACATCAAGGTCGCACACCTCTGGAGCAACTAGGGGTTAAGTGTCTTGCTCAGGGACACAATTGAATTGAACCCATGTCTCCCAAACCAAAGGAAAACATCTTATCTATGCGCCATCACCACCTGCTTATGCATGCACTTCCTGCGGTGCAGCAGCCTCCTCACCCCGGCAGCTGTGTCGGGCAGTGCCGCAGTGTTGTGGCCTCATCGGAGCCAGAGAGAACACCGCTCCTCTGTCAGTATAGCCGGTAGTGGTGTGTTTCTGGTAGTCTCAACTGGTGTGGAACTATTCCAGTTACCAAAGCCCTGCAGGGTCTGATGATCATAAGTGGTAGCGGTAGGGGTGGCTGCGACTGCTTGCCCCGCCATCTTGCTATCAGAAGTTGTCACTGTATTTCATTTATTTTACTTGCTGACTGCACTGTACCGGCTTCCACCACATTAAACACAGATTTTAAACACATCTAACACCCCGCCCATTGAACACTGGTGCACTTGTAATAGACACACCCACAGGTTTGTGTACAAAGATGTTGAATATATTATGGATTGTTGAAAAGCTCTTACTTTGTGTCTGAGGGTTCACGTTCTTTACTGAAGTTTGGAGGCCTCTCTTTGGACCAGTCACTCTTCATAGACAGACAGCTGGATGCTGGAGACTCTGCTCTCTGCCTGTGGAAACAAATAATTCAAGTCAGAATGAGTTGCGTTGTCCAGCAGTTCACCTTGGATGTGTGATGAGATTAAACTGTTATACAGGAAGATCAGCAGCCTGTGGTGTTCAGGTCTCAGGATCAGACAGAACTAAACGTTCGCTACCTGAACGCGCCTTAAAGCTGAGAAGAAAGTGGATCAAACAAAGTTCTGTGTTTGAGTTGGCTGCAGAAGGATCCTTATTGTCCCACTTTGCAGCAGGGCAAATAAACAACCACAGTAAAGTCTATCAAAAGATGTCTCGTTATAAGACTTGATAAGTGTGAGCCAATAATGCACATGCACATGTTTATTTCACTGGGGTTTACCTGCAGTGCAGACAGCTGTACGAGAAGATCAACGGATTGCTTCTGAATCATCACAAAGACACATCTGTATAAAGACTGAGATGACTGAACTTACATCACTATGTTGTTTATCTTTTCCTTCAGAGGCCTGTTCCACGAAGCGTTATTTGGCTTTACTAACCCTAACAATCGCGATCGGGATAAGTGTTGACACACCTCTGCTGCGGACCCATCGGCGTTCCCCACCTCTTTCTGTCTCTCTCTCCCTGTATAAGTCCGTTAACTTTCTCCACCACCAATAAATCAATTTATGGGAAACACTGTCTGGTTGTAGGGCTGGAGAAGTGTGAGCCAAAAGTGCACAGGTTAACGTTTGTTTCACTGCAGTTTAGATGCATGTAGGAGAAGATCAACGGACTGCATCACAAAGACACGAGACGCCTGCAGCTACATCATGTCGTTTGTGTCTCTGACTTTCCTTCCTGTGTTCCCTCTGTAATACCAACATGACAAACAACGCAAGTTATTGTGTTTGTTCTGAAACTGGATGTTTGTCGACCGTCACTCTGTAGAGTCCGGATCCTTTAGTGGTTCAGGTTTCATCAGGTACATTCACTGAGATCAGTCTCTTACTTTGTGTCTGAGGGTTCATCACTGCAGTCTGGAGGCCTTTCTGTGGACCCGTCCCCCTTCATGGACAGACAGCCGTCCTTCTTTTCCTCCACATCACTCATCTTCAGTCAGTCTGAGTGAGGCAGGGACAGCATCAGAGGAAGGTCAATGATCAGTGAAAACACTTCTTCCTCTCCCTGCTGTGTGTTTCTGCTCTGAACCTGATCCAGGTGACCGTCAGCCAGCAGCTCGTCTCTGAGAGGAAACTAAAATCTGAAAGCGTCAACAGAAGAACTCCTGCAAACAACAACTGCAGAGGAGAGGTCTGCAACATTTGTCTTTCCTCTGATCAGTCATTGTACTAGCTCGCAGTCAGAATGTGTCTTTACGCAGCGGTTTTCATACCCTGCGCCTGCAGTCGCCGGTGTAACAGTGCAAGTGGTGGCTAGATTAACTGGTGACAGTCCCAGGTGTGTCGCAGGCGTGGCTTCAGGATCCACTGACTGCAAATCAGGAAATACGTTCCAATAACTTTGTACATACATAATGTACGGTCATGTAGATATCTGCTTCTGAGTGGAGTTTGCAGGCTGCATCGTAGCTGCACGATGATTCACAGGGAGTTCTCCCACCTGCAGATTAGTTCAAAGCGAGGACTGTGAGCGTGATCATGGAGGAGACTGTGTCGCTGTTCAAAACACTGCAAAACATCAATAAACCGTCCAAATGTTCATGTTGTCGGTCTGATTTGTGCCACGGTGAGTTTGAATGTGTTCTTACTTACGTAAGGAAACACGCAGAGTGGCCAGATTAACCTGCGATACAGCTTCGTTCCCGTTTATATTCCGCTATCTTTGCCATGCCAGTCAACATTTGTATCGTTTTTTTATCTAAGAACAGTTTGTCATGCAGCCTGTAAGTGAAACAGTCTGGATGTTTGATCTTGACTGAGGGTCACACTGTGAAGTGAAATGAGCCAGTGGAAACAGAAACTTTTCTTTTTACATAAATCTGAATTCAGTGAAAATATTAGACATTTTCCAGGGCTGTAAGTTTTACAACCCAACGGCGTCGCCTGGTCATTTTTCCGGGGCTTTAGCCCCAGATGCTTTGACTGTAGCCCCGAACAACAGCAACAACAATGTTTTCCATGTTAATATGCAATAATCTTCATGCAGCAGCCTGTGTTGAAGGTCTTCAAAGAGCGGAAGCTCCTCCCAATAATATTGCTACATTTTGTTTGAAGTTTGCAATGTAAGTTATGTATTTATATAACTGTTGGGCACACAAGCATAGACCTATACAGACATTGGGCTGGCCCAATCACATGTCTTACAAGTCCCCACTCCCTCCTCCTCTGCTCGAGCCGTTTCTTGTGGGCCAAAAAAAAAAACAACCGATATGTTTGTTACCCAGGCTGCAGTAGCTTCAACATCAGCTGCAGTATCCTACCCTGCATAGTAATTAAATACAAATGCTATGAGAAAGGTTTATTTGCACAGTAAGCCTGAAATGCAGTGTAAATATAGAAGAAATCTCTATATTTTAAAAAAAGAAACTTAAGCTAAAAAAAGAATAAGCTGCTGATTACTGCATTTTATATTCTGAATTGTCACCTGCCACCTAAATTTTGTCCTTCCCTTTATAAATATGAAAACATTTTTACCATAACTTGGTCCAGAAATTAAGTG